ATTGACGATTATTCGCCGAGTACACGAATCGTGTGGGACCGGCTTTATACCTATTTTGGAGGTCGCGATACTAAAAAGGTTGAGAGACGATGGGATACAACACGATAGAGATGGGAATTATGGTTCATCTAAGTCAGCGATCCTCACTAGGATTGTAGAATGGGCCAAATGTAATTTTTGAAAATTATTTGCGGGCTGCATACATTTTTAATTATTTTTTTAATAATTAAAAACATAAAAATTATATATATTGTTAGGAAAGGGTATTGTAGGAAAAAGTACGTGAATGACATAAATGTTTTTCTGGGATTTATAATTACAATTTTAAATTTCAATTCATAGTTTATTTTATACAAAATACAAATTATTCATATTATTATATGTTAAATTTATATATTTTTTAAATTATTAGAGTAATATTTATATTTATATAATTAAAATTAATTTTTTTATTAATTTTTTTGATTTAATGTTGATGGACGGTATCTTTCTGTTTCTTTTATAATTTTGTTTATGTCTACAGTTGTATTTGATGTTGACAACCGCAGTAAATCGTCCAAATGCACATCACTCAAACGATTTCTGTATTTGTTTTTTATAAATGTTACCTTACTAAAAGCCGCCTCACATAAATATGTCGATCCAAAAAATGTTAGAAAACCTTTTACGTTTGATAAAAGGGAAGGATATTGATGTTCCTCAAGTGTATTTCAAAATTCCATTGTATTATTTTTACCATTAAAAATATCTTTTAATGTTATGTCCTGCTGTAAGTCAATTAATTCACTTTTCAATAAACCAATATTACAATTCATAATATTAATTTTAAATATTTCTTTTGTAGTTACTGCCCACGGATTTTCAATAAATCGAAATGAATTTCTTAAGTTTTTAATATCATTGAAACGACTATTCATTTCATTTTTTAAAGTGCCCAATAGTTCAAGCAGTTGTGGTTTCAGAGCTAGGTTTTCTTCATCAGAAAAAATTGTATTTTCTTTCGTCATTAAATCGAATTTGGGAAAACTTGAAAAATCATTTTCAGATACTTCTTCAATGTACATTTTGAGCTTTTCTTCAAAAGCAAAAATCTTACTGGCCATGTGAGTGATAAGTTTATTTTCTCCTTGCAGATTGGTTTGAAGTATATTTAAACTTTGAGTTACATCTGCAAGGAATGCAAGTTTGTACCAAAATGCTAATGAGTTTATTTCAGAAAATTCAGCTTTTTGTTCGTGGATAAATAATTTAATTTCTTCACGAAGGGAAAAAAATCGTTCTAAGACTTTACCTTTGCTTAGCCATCGCACTTGAGTATGGAACATAATATCACTGTATTGGGAATTCAGTTCGGAAAGAAATTCTTTAAATTTTCGGTGATTTAAATCTCTAGCTCTGATAAAATTCACGATTTTAATTGTTTTATTCATGACAACAATAAAATCATTTGGAAATTTACATGTTAAATTTTCTTGATGAATAATACAATGGAAATTGATTAATTTTGGTTTTTCAATTTTATTCTTAATAAGAGTAACAAGACCAGAATTAATTCCAACCATTGAAGGACAACCGTCTGTATATATGGAAATTAACTTTTGCCAATCTATTTTATTTTTTCCAAAAATGTAGAAATTGTTTCAAAATAATCCACGCCATGAGTTTGGCTTTCCATCGGTATGACTTTCTAAAAGTCTTCTTTAATAATATTATCTTTTGAACAAAATCTAACAAAAAGTATTAATTGAGAAGTAGAGCTTATATCTACTGAAGAATCTAATGCTAAAGAAAAAAAATCGACAATCTGTTAATTCGTTGATCACTGATTTACTTGATTTCCAAGATGTTCGATCCTACGAACACATGTAGCATCAGATAACTGCAGACTTGAAATTTGGTCACTTATTTCTTTAAAATTGGAAAAATTACTAAACAGAGTATTTACAACTGTTTCCATACATTTTTTTATTAGTTTGGCATCCGAGAATGGTTTCATGCGTTTGGCTAACATATGTGTTACTTCATACGATGCTTTTGTTGCAAGTTCATTTTTATTAGTGAACCGTAACATTGATTGTTTTTCAGAAAAAATTCCTTTTTTTAATTCAATTAGTTTTTCTTCTCTTATTTTAGATGGGTGTGGATAATTTTTAGAAAATTCAGTATGGTGAGTTGTGTAATGACGATTAATATTATAACGTTTTGGAATATTTATGGTTTTACGACAAATTAAACATAAAGCATCGTGTTTCTTACCAGAAATACAGAAAAATTCAATCTCCCAACTGTCTTGAAATATTCTGTGTTCATCTTCGATTTTACGTTTTGCCATGATAAAGAATTAAAATTAACAGCTTACTCACGTAACTAGAACACACGATGCTAGAAGCACAGAATTACATATTGTAACGACAATACGGGATAAAATACAAACGGACAATAAGCGATAATGGATAAACTGTGTGGAAATAAATAAACTCACATCGTAGCCCATAGGTGCCTACTTATCTGTCCAAGTGGTAATTCAATACAAGTTTAAAATAGAAAGATAAAATAAATAAAAATGATAAGATAATAAGCGACGTTCTTTTATTTACTGTTTATAGAATTTTGAATTTTAGAATGAACAATTTAATTTTAGTGCGGGCCGCAATAAAGTTACTAAAGGGCCGCATGCGGCCCGCGGGCCGCGTAGTGGGGACTATGCGTATCCGGTAAAAAGACCCGTTCGGATATTCGGTTCAATACGGTCCATACGTAGGCAGGGACGTAATTAGGGGGGGATTAGGAGTATGGATCCCCCAAAATTTTATTTATGTAATTTTTTTTTTATTTATTATATTGTGATAATATAATTATTATCATTATTATCATTAAAATTAAAATTATTAAAAAATTTGTTCTGGTGGGGTGGGGGGAGTTACTGTATGAGGTATACAGATTTTGCTAAAACCTATAATCCCCCCCCCAAACCAAATTCCTAATTACGCCACTGCGTAGAGATGGGAAAAACGGGTCAGGGATCATATCAATGACCCGTTCGTCCGCAAACGACACATAAAAACACCGTAGTATTATTAAAATAAAACCGATAATAAATGATACGAAAATACGCATAAAAATACCCAATATCTAGAATTCATTCAGTGATACCCACTGAACCAACAAAAAAATATTTGACGAACGACCGGGACGGGTTTTAGTGATCCGGATCTTTTGGTTTATATCGATGACTCGTATGTTCGCGAACGACACATCACTACAACACGAATGTGACTCGTGCTGATAAGAAATTTAATCTTGGATTTTCCCCCAAAATAGACTATTATTTATTGTTAATTGTTGGCGATTCGAGTCATGTAGGAACACTGGCGATGACGAGCAAAGTATATACGATTGACGAATAATCGGCGAGCACACGAGTCGTGTAGGAGCAACATAATTACAAACATCGTACATCGTACAAACTTGGCAAGTACACTCGCCGAGTATACGCTCGCAAAGTACACAAGTCGTGTGGGACCGGCATTATTCACTATAACATGACAATGAAGCGACGACTGTAATCGACGAGATAATATCGGATACTAATTGAATATTAGAAAAAAATAATAAAATGTAGGTATAATACTATTCACTACAACTCGACAACGACAAGTGTAATCGACGAGATAAAATTGGACAAGTCTTGAGTTACCGCCATAATGGTCAATAAGGAACAATAAGAAATGAACTAGTGTGAAATCAGTAAAAATGACTAAAAATGATGAAAAATTATCTAAAAGTGTCAAAAAATGACTTAAAAAGTAACAAATACCAAAAAATGCAAAGAAAATGCAAAATAAAAATTAGTTATTTGGATTCAGATGCCAATGAAACACAATTATGGCTAAGAAATTGTAGTAATTCAATACAACAAATTATTTTGATAGTTCAATAATTGTAATTTTTTTTTTTTAATTTGTAGAGTGGAATCGGTTTTTAAGTAGATACAGACACGTTTAGGTTAAATTAATAAACAATTTAATATCATGAATAATAAAATGATACACAACGCACTTCGTACAACGGCAACCGGTCGCATGTCTCGACAGACTGCCTCCGTATAGCTGTGTTATAATATTTGTATATATGCCACATTCGACATAGAGAATGTGCCATCTCAACATTAATTGCTGACTATACTAATGTATATATATATACTTAAAACTACAGTATGAATATAAGCTAATACATACTAAATATACTGGGTGTATTGTTTAATTTCAACATAATTAAATTTTTGGTACTTTCGTTATATACGGAGGCCACTCATTGTTATCACATTATCATATTGTTATCGCGCAGCGGCACGGTATAAATGTATTAAATTTTCCTAAATATAACACAAGTGGCCTCCATATATAACATAAGTACCAAATTTTTTCCCCACATACCTATTTAGATGTTTTTAGATTTTATTAATTATATTTACATGTTTCTTTTTTTTTTTATTACATGTAAATCCGTTCCCTACTGATCATGTCATACTAATTGCACCTGCCTACCCTATCCCCACTCCCACCTGGAAAACGTCAGCCTAATAGTTGTACTAGCTATAAAGTATAAAAACTTTAGAATTTATTATCACGGTTACATAATATAGCACTGGTTAAAGATTTTGGTATACGGTCTTATCACTAATCATTTATCACGATACCCAAAATAATTAAAAAAATTTGTAATATTTTGTGGGAAAAAAAATAAAGGGTTTGAAAAGTCTGCAAAAATTACCGGTATCGATGTAGAACTTATAAAATAGTTTGGAGGTGATCTGATGGTTCTGACAAGTGGTTACGAAATAAATGTACAGGAATTTAAGGAGTATTGTTTGAGCGCAGCAAAATATTATAATAACCTATATCCATGATATTATATGCCCCCAACTAAAAACAAAATATTAGTACATGAAGCTGATGTTATTAAACACGCACTACTTCCAATTGATAATTTCTCAAAATATTTATATTTCATTCGTAGAAATATAATATTTTAGGTCAATTGTTCGAGGAACCCCAGGAATGTAGAAATAAGGATTTTAAAATTTTTAGACAACATCACACAAGAAAAAATTCTAGAATCAATAATAATGAAGATCTATTACATATGTGTGCGTCTCATCTGATCCGGTCATATCCAGTTTATGTAAAGTACCAAAAAAAAAAATATACTTAAACTCTCCAATGAAGCTCAAAAACTGATAAATATTAATTAAATAGAAAAATATAGTCTTTTAAACTTTTTATCTTTGTTTATTTAAAATAAAAATTCAAAACAATAATTATAAAAAAAAATCGAATTTTTAAAAAAAAAGTCAAATTTGGATTTGTTATCTTCGAAAATATATATATATTTTTTATTTATAGTAATATCAAATAGAATAAGAGTTGATATTAATTTAGACAAGCTAAAATCACTTTTCAGACCACTGTGCGGCGCGCCGCGTCTGAGGTACAGGTGATTAAATATATTTTATTATACAACCGTATTTTTACTTTAAAGTGGAATCAATCTAAGTAATATTGTCATATATTTGTACAAAATTAAAATTTGTGTTACTCAAACTTTTTGTTCAATGGATCAAGAATTTGAAGGTTTCTATACATTAAATTATAATTATAACATGGTAGATATTTTAAATTTATATTTATTTTAGCCGGTACAAGTCTTAGACGATTTAATATATATATATATATGAAGACTTCTTTAAGTTTTTGTGTCAAAAAGAAAATTTAAACCCACAAAATATTACTTCTAGAACGATTTTACTGGGTATAATTAAAATTAAGTATGAAGGTGATAAATGATAAATAACCTAATGAGATGGATAATACGAGAAAATTATCAAGGATAAAATATTCAGTTTTTCTGTAGTTTTATCAAAAAATGGGTAGCAAGTAACAGAAATTTAAATAAATTCATTAAAAAAAATGCTGATTGGTTCCAAATAAAATTCAGATTACCTCCATTAATTACCAATACTAAAATACTTGAAAAAGTAAACTGGCAAGTTTTCGCTTTTAATGCTCCATCCACGATTACTTTTCATATACCATTCCATTCTCCATTGTACAGTTTTAACGAACCTCTAAGTCGTATGTTAAGAAATTGCAACAGTGTTGCCTTTGACTTTAATTTTCAGAATGAATTTAAATTACGCTGTTTGTATATAGATTTCGGATAAATTGATATGTGTTATATTTATACAAAAGGTAATATAATCTAATATAATCTAATTTATATAATATAATATAAAATTTAATATAATATAATCAATATATATATATGTGTAAAATTGTAATGTAATTTTTTTTTTCACAATTCCTTATATTCTATAATTACTATTAATCTTCTTTGTTATATGTTATCATAATGTACACTATTTGCCCTT